AAAACAGACTGAAAATGTATCTTGGAATCTGAACTAAGCTCTTGATTTTTATACCTTTATTTTTTAAGGCACAGAAAATGGACCTTTTGGTCCAACACCCATTTCAATCAGAGGGAATTGTTCGGGCCAAACTCTTCACAGACTTGGGTCCTCAGTCATCTACATACTCTATCTGTCAACATAAACAGATTCTAGGGGTCAGATTCAGTAAGGGACTTAAGCTCCTTCAAATTAACTGTGCTCTTGAATCTTCCTCTCTCTGCATGTAAAGAGTGAGCAAAAAGGAACATGGCTGAATGACTCCATGGTTAGGGCACTGACCCAGAAGAGGGCAGTTCTTAGTTTCTGGTTTCTGCTTCCTTGACTGTTTTCTTCTGAATAAACAGTTATTGGATGAAAAACAGGAATAATCCTGAGAACTCCAGACTGTCCTGTTTCCAGCTGCATGAGAGTTGTAACCATAAGGCTACTATATAGCACATCCCAACCACCTTCCTTCTCAAAGAAGGAAGCATGTCTTGTGCTGAATAAAAGTCCTTTGTGATTCTCACTGCGAGATTCTTTGAAGGGTGACCTGAAGTGTGAGGATATAAGCAGCCAAGTTAAGTAGATAAATGCAGGTTCAAGCTTTTGCATGCCTGAACAATATCTTGACTCCAAAGCCCAGCCCCTCTGTAAGGATGTATGTTCTGTAATATATAAATTTGTTTTTGAAATTGGGTGCCACTCAATTCACAACATTTATGGATGCCTTGAATCCATTGAGGGTGTCTCAAGTCCAAAAAGGTTGAGAACCATTGGATTAGGTACTTCAAGAGATATAGGTGCCACTCTCATTTCTAGATTGCAATGAGGCTTAGTCAGGAGTTTAGTTACAAGCTGCTCAGACTAGGACAGTTCCCTACATGCCTGCCACACAGAACTTTTAGCCCAAATACGGAGGCACTTTTTTTTTTTTTTTTTGTATTTAAAAAAAAAAAAAAATGGATTGAAGAATCTTAAGTCCTACTTAAGTCCTGTTTAAGGACCTACATCTTTTTTGGATTTTTCCATTGGTTTCTCAGTAGTTTAAGCTTTGTCTGCCCATTAATTGGTGTTTTGGTGTTACTGGTTGCAAATTACCAGGCCAACTTTTATGGTGTACTGAAATGAATCATTTGCTTGCTTTCCCATAGGCTCTGATTTAATCCTAATGACTTCCTTTTTAATATACTAAATAACATTTAGATGGAATATTTTAACAGCTTACTCAATTGCTAATGTGTCCCTCCCACAAACTACAAGATTTCACAATGATTTATATAACCAGTAAAAATAATGGAATTTATGGCTGTCATGAGAGCCACTGTTAACATCTATCCTTATTTCTGGTATGCAGGTTTTACAGGCCTATATAGTTATGCTGGCTTTGTTTTCTGTGCACTGTATGTATGAATGTTTTTTACAGTCTACCTGACCCTAGAGATCAGCAGCCCCTTTGTTTTTGAACACAGCACAAGCTCTTATGTCGCTCTCTGTGCTCTCCCGTGAATCTGCCTTTTTTCTTTTTTGTTTTGCTGTTTTTCAATAAAAAGCTAAAATAATTCTGATTGAATGTGCTTGTTTGCGGTTTGTTTATGGAAAAGCCTAGGGTTCATATTGAGTTTATTTAGCAAAGCAATATTTCATGAATTTACCTAAAACATAGGATTTGGGGGTTTTATGGATTAAATATTTTCTGACAAATTTAAATACTCATATTTGGTTCAGCAGTGATACCACCAAGTGGTAAACTACCAGAGGTAGTGGTACCACAGAGGGAAAACTGTATGACAATCCCAGCATGTTTCAGTTATACAATAATTAATCTTCTCTAAATGGCCAATGTGGGAACAAATATGTTTCTTTTTTCCAGGTGGAATGAGGAGAACTGATGCACCCTTTATTGTGTATGAAATGGCAAACTTCTGTTAGGTTATATGCACATATATCTATTTTTTTTTCCTTTTCAGAGCTTTTTGGAATTAAGATCTGATTCAGAGGTGGTGCTGCTAACTGACGTGTTCAAGAGCTACACATTTCCTCCAAGGATTTCTCCAGTATCTATTTAAATCTGGCTAAACTATCAGTTTCCTGTGGGGGAATGAGTTTGTCACTTTGAGAAAGAAAGTTGCCTTCTCTTAGTTTTCATTTGACTAGTTTCATTTTATGACTGTTAGTTCTTGTAATGGAATTAAACACACATGCTTAAAACTTCAAATTTAAAAAGTCATAGAGAAGTAGGCTAGAAGGGACCTCCAGAGGTCATCTAGTCCAATCCCCTGCCTGAGGCAGGATCATCCCTATACAAACCATAGTCTAAACTCTGCATAAGACTACCCTTCACCCTGAGACAACATAGACCCTAATACCCTACCTGCAACAGCTAAAGCAGGGGAACCATGGCAGCCAATGTCCTCCTTCTATAAAATGTTGTCAGTGTACACTTAACAGGGCCATGCTCCCTCTACAGAGGAAGGTAAAACCCTCCATAGTCCATCCCAATCTGATCATGGGGTAAAATTCCTCCCTTACCCCAAATATGGCAATCAGTCTGACCGTGAGTGGTAGAGTAAGACCTTCCAGTCAGGAACCTCCAGACTTTGGTCCTAGTAGGAGCATTGGCACACCCCAGTCAGAGTCCCCAGCCTGGGGTGTAGCCAACACCCAATTCCCTGGGGAGGCTTAAAACCCTGACAAACGTTGCAGAAGGGCAGAGAGGGATGGGGGAACCAGCAAAGCCCAGAAACTTGGGAAATACCTGAGAGAGAACCTGGGCATAGCTATGTCTAGATCAGGGGATGGCAAGGTTTCTGGGCAGAGTGCCCAAAACACCCATGACTTCAACTTGTAAGATGTTGGAGTGCCAGGGGTGGATGGTGGGGGGAACTGCAAGGGGCCCAATCCTTGTTGTGGTAGTACAGCCCCGGTCCCTTCCCTGCTGTCTGCCTGCGGTGCGTGCCCCAAGCAAAATGCCTTTGTGTGCTAACTGGCACCTGTGCCAGGGGTTGCTTACTCCTGGCCTAGATCATCTCCAACCAGTGGCTGTCCGACCTCTTCTTGAACACCTCCAGTGATGGAGAGTCTACAACTCCCATAGACGGTCTATTCCACTGCCTCACTATTCTAACACTGAAGTTGTTTTTCAGATATCCAATCTAAACTTACTTTGCTGCAACTTCAAGCCACTGGTCTGAATCCTCCTTTCTGCAGCAAGGTAGAAAAGGTGCTTTCCCTCTTACGGGAGCCCTTCAGGTATTTGAAGGCTGCTATCATGTTCCCTCTGAAGCATGCTTTCTATAAGCTGAACATGCCTAACTCCTTTAGCCTCTCCTCATATGGTTTGCCTTCCAAGCCCTCGACTATCTTTGTTGCCTGCTTCTGGACCCTCTAACTTTTCTGCATCCTTTTTAAAAGCCCAGAACTGCACACGGTACTCCAGATGAGGCCTAACCAGTGCCAGGAAGAGAGATGGTGTTTGAATTATGGCGGAGCTCTGGGAGGAGGGGGAGCTGAGCCCCACACTAAGAAATGAAAGCCCTGCCCCAGCCCACCCTGTGTCTCAGGCAGCGGTGGTGGCAGTGGCTCCTTTTGGCTTCTGGCTGCTGTCACTGCAGACTGCCCCCAAGAGTCGGAGCGTAATTTGAACCCTGAAGAGAGGCACTTTCACCCCCCATATCTTGCACCTAAATCACTGATACATACAAAAAAAAACACAGTAGGTGTGATTAAAAACTTGCCTGGAATGACCCACAGAGGCCTGTTCTCTTCAGCTCGTCTTATGTCAACTGTGGCCTGGTTGCAACACCACTCAGCATCCAGCCCAAACTCAGCTCCTTATCTGGGGCAACATATGTTGCGCCATAGGTCTGTGGGGCTGGCAGGCTGGCATATGAAAACTGAGCCTGGGGTTGGGCACTATCCTACCCAGCTTTCTTCACAAGAATCCTCTGGTGGTAGAGATGTGTGGTATGGGGTGACCTTAAAAGGATTTTGCCCCATCACCTCAGTCTAACCTCAGCTCCTTATTCAGGGCTATGTACCTGATGTGTGATATTATTTTCCCTTTTTATTAGTAAACATGAGCTTTTGATGAAATTCTAACCCTTTTTAATACATCAAATTCATTGCTAACAACTTCTAATTGTGTAAAGACTAGCTTTGAAAAAGGAACTGGGAGTAAGGAACTGGGAATAAGGACCCACCTTCAGCCTCAGGCATCTGGACATTTCAGAAAACAGCCTGTAGACCTTCGGATGACCTTTGTCTCCTGTATAGGGCAGGTGGGAACCTGGCGCCAGCGTTACTTGGCTGGGGGTGGGGGTTGGGTCTGCACTGGTGCACCTGTGTACCACACGATACACAACTGAGCACCTGCGTGGCCCCTCTTCCTGTGCCTAGCCCACTACTTATGGTGCAATAAATGTAACATAGGCCAGGAGGAACAGGGCAGGATGGAGCTGTCTGACCCAGTCGGACCAAGAAGAAATGAAAGGGAGGCCAGGCGAGTGATGAGCAAGGCAGGCTGGGGCTTCTTTCAGTTGTGGGCACTGGGCTGCAGCTTTGGGGGTAGCCTCCAGGTCCCTGAAGCCTAGTGTCCTGTCTCCCTGAGCCAGACTGGAACCTAGAGTTGCTGCCCCTGTGGGTGCCCCTACCTGGCTATGTCCTGCCACAGCTGCCCTGGGCAGGTGATGTCCTTGTACATCGTGGGGGACGGGGGCACGTGGCTGATAGGCGCACACAGGTGGAAGGAACCACAGCTACTGCGGAAAGGGGACAGAATCAGCTGGGAGCAACCACAGGGCTGGGACAAGGCGGGAGGAGAATGTGTATGGGGCGAGGTGGAAGGAACCGCAAACCCAGGGCCGGGACGAAGTGGAATGAAGCACCGCCACTAGGCTGGGGGGGGTGGGCAGTGAGAGGATCGGACGGGAGCCACCACATGGTTGGGACCAGAGAGGGGAAGCATAGAGCGACCGGGCGACGCTCTGGGCTGCCGGAGCCGGGAGTCTATGGTAGTGGAGGACTGAGTGCCTGGCAGGGGTGTGGTCCCCGGGCGCCGCCCACGAGGCGGCTGGAGCCGGGCCTGGGGCAGTGCAGTGCGGGAGGATGCTGGCCCTCAGGTGCGTGCTGCAGGGCGGGGGCCGGGCCGGGCCGGGCCGTGCAGCGGGCTCCCCCCGGGGGTGCTGCGCTCCCGCGGGACGGGCCAGACCCAGTTCCACCCTGCGCCGTCCCCCGTTACATATATTAAGCGGTTCGTGGCGCCATAAGCAGTGGGCCGGGCACAGGGCATGGGCAGAGGGGCCACGCAGGTGCGCAGTCGTGTGTGGCGCAGTTAATGGGTGCCGCCCTGCAGACCCGTGCCAAGTAATGCAGGCGCCATAAACGGATGGGCTGAGGAAGAGACGGGAGGGAGGTGGGTAATAACCCTCCGGAGATGGTTTCTGCCCAGCTTTGAATTGAAGGGCAGTCTCCCTCCTTAAGGGAGGCTGGAAGTTGTCCCAGTGGGTGTAAGACGCCTGGGTCCTGTGGCACGACGGACAGGCCGGTGTCCCGTGGCGGCAGGGAGTGGAGGCTGAAAGGGAGAGTGAGCTGAGTCTGGCTAGGGTTTCCCCCTCTTTCCCCCTTCCTGTCCCACTTGCAACCTCCAGCATTTAAGGTCCAGGAAGATCTGGTTCAGAGGTGGTGCCACTAACTCTTGTGCTCAAGAGCTACGTTTCTTCGAAGGATTTGTCCGGTCTCTGTTTGAATCCGGCTAAATTGTCATCTCCACCACCTCTGGGGGCAACAAGTTTGCCACTTTAAGAGAAGGCAGCTCTTTTTCTCAGTTTTCATCTGACTAGTTTCATTTTATGACCTCTAGTTCTTGTCATGGGAGAGATGATAGGTAATAAATCCACAGGCCTGATCTTGAATACTGGTTTGCACCACTTTGCACTGGGTTAACTAACCCCACTGGGTGTGAGGCATTTGTTTTAAACCCTGTCATATGTTAAATGATTAAAATTAGAAAAAAAATGTGTTTTGTTCACCATTAACGCTGGTATTTACTCTTTTTTTTTTTATTTCACTCAGTTCAGGTCATGAAAATTGAATAGTTGGATTCTTTCATTTTTAGTATTTAACTTCATTTTCTGATCCTGAACAAAGCACAAAGCTGAATTATTAAGGTTGAGACAAGGATTTTTGTGGGCAGTGTCTTTTACTGAACCAATGACATGTCAGGGCTGAAGTCAGACAAGCTTGTGAAGGCAAGGCCTTCTTCAGGTCTGCTGAAGGCGTCAGCTTCACAGCTGTTCCTGCTTCTTCCCTTAGATCTGATGAAGAAGGACTTGCATTTGAAAACTTGCCTAACTTTAGCCCAGCAAGGCAGTTGGTCAAATAAAAGAGATCACCCCTGCAAATTTTTCTTCTTGCATAATTCTTGGACCATCACAGCGACACTATTGCTCCAGTGCTACTAAGAATGTGTGTGCATGGGGGTGATGGGAGGGAGCAATTTTTTGATAAATTATGCCCTAATATATATCCTGTGGAGCTCAGGTGATGTTGTTGCTCGTAGAGGCCTCACAGGGACCAGAATCTGATTGAGGATGCAGTGATTTTTTTTTTATTTTATTACAACATTTAAAATACTCTTACTTCCCATTTTAAGGTTTGAGAAGAATGTAGATTGGGTTAAGAAGAGACCACTGGGTCCAAGAGATGTTTGTTGGGTTCAGTGAATATAGCTACAGTAGAAAATATTTAATTTCCGTACAACTCCTGCCATGTGACTCCTAGTGTGAATGAGATGCTTTTGATTTCTGGTGATCTTTCTTCCTGTTAGTTAGGCTAGGAGCCGCAGGTGATGTAGAGAGAGACGTTCATAGATTCATAGATGCTGGGGTCGAAAGGGACCTCAACAGATCATTGAGTCCAACCCCCTGCCTAGGCAGGAAAGAGCCAGATGACCCCAGCCAGATGCTTATCCAGCCTTCTCTTAAAGACACCCAAGGTAAGGGAGAGCACCACCTCCCTTGAAAGCCTGTTCCAGATTTTGGCCACACTTACCGTGAAGAAGTTTTTCCTGATATCTAGCCTAAATCTGTTCTCTGTCAGTTTGTGACCATTGTTCCTTGTTACCCCAAGAGGCGCCCGGAGCATCTCCGATCCTTTGCTGCATCCCCCTAATGAATTTGTAGGTGGTCACAAGATCACCTCTCAGCCTTCTCTTGCAGAGGCTGAAGAGGTCCAGGTCCCTCAGTCTCTTCTTATAGCGCTTGTCCTGTAAGCCCCTGATCATATGAGTAGCCCTCCTCTGGACCCTCTCGAGTTTATCAACATCCTTGTTGAAGTGTGGCACCCAAAACTAGACATGGTACTCCAACTGTGGTCTGACCAATGCTGCGCAGAGGGGAAGTATCACCTCCTTGGCTCTATTTGTCGTGCACTTGCTGATGCATGGTAAAGTGCGGTTAGCTTTGCTGATGATTTCGTCACACTGACGATTCATGTTCATCATAGAGTCCACTATGACTCCGAGATCCTTTTCCGCTTCTATGCTGCTGAGAGGATCACTTCCCAGCCAATAGGTTTGCTGGATATTTTGTGTCTTAGGTGCAGCACTCTGCACTTGTCCTTGTTCTACTGCATCCTTGTGTACTGCCCTCTTTTCTAACCTATCCAGGTCTGCCTGCAATCATTCCCTACCCTCTGTAGTGTGCACTTCACCCCACAATTTAGTATCATCTGCAAACTTGGACAGAGTACACTTCACACCCACATCCAAGTCACTGATGAAGATATTGAAGAGTACAGGTCCAAGGACAGAACCCTGTGTGACCCCACTACCCACCTTGTTCCAGGTTGATACTGACCCATCTACTACCACTCTCTGGGTGCGACTGCTAAGCCAATTTGCCACCCACTGGACCGTGTAAACATCTATGTCACAGCCTCTTAATTTATTTATGAGAATGGGATGAGATGCTACATGCTACATAAGTGTGTGGTACTTCCTGTGCGCAGGTTGCTGGAAGATCAGGATTGCTGGGATGCCTTCAAACACAACTAAGTAAGAGAAGAGAGGGCAGGTTGGCACCCTTGTCTTCTGCTTAACTTCAGACTAACATAGCTAATTCGATCTCTACAAATAAATAACAATGTATCAATTTACTAAAAAAACATTTTGTTGCTTTGTGATCAAAGCATGGAACTCCAGACCAGGATTTGAAAGATTTACAACAACTTTGATACTGATTTACTGGAGAAGGACTACTTAGTGCTAGATCCTTTTTTACTTTACCTGCTTAAATGGCAACTAACCAGCCATGAAACTTCCCGATTGTCTTCCATCCATTTAATGCGATGCATAGTAAAAGCAAGGTGCCATGACAGCTTTTAAGTAATTTGTTTTTTGCTACATAGTTATTCAAATAGATTCCAATGTCATTTTACATTTTAGCTGACTCGGTGTTAAAGTATTTGTATGGCTTTTGAAGAAAAATAATGTGAACTTTTGTGGAATTCTTATTTATTTTTCTCTGCAATAATCTGAATTGATACTTTACTATTCTGTGTTGGCAGATTATGTACAGTAAAGAAGACCACTTCTGTTCTGGTGAGAGCATTGATTTCCCAGAGCAATGGTTCCAAGTCTCTTCCAGATATGTCTGAAGGTAATGTAACTGGTTGCATTTTAGAAAGATCATGTCACAAAGGGGGATTCTTCTCTCCTTAATATATACACACTGCTCCTTGGATGTATGGCAAGGAAAATATTGTTCTTTAGTTTCATTTATATTGTAGATATTGAAGAATTAGCTGCAGAAAATGTCTTTGTTTAAAATATTTGCATTTATATTTAATGAGTGGCAAAATTGAATCTATTTAGCATGGAAATATGCATTCAGGGGATCTGTTTGGTCCTTGATATTTGGAAAAGCACTTTTAAAAAAAAATTTTTTTAGAAGAACATTTTTCCCTTTCTGTATTGATGTGGTCTGAAGGAACTGTGTCTGTAGCATGGGCATGTGTGGAAGGAAAGTACCTTAAATAGAAACTCATTTATGCTAATGGATGGCTGTGACATTGCATGTTCTGGATTTGCATTATTAAATGAACACTAATTTGAGGAGGCAATTAAAGGAGAGAAGTAAGGATAGTTCATGTTCAGTTAAGTGCAACTGCATTTCTCATTTTGATTTGTAGTTTAAATTTAGCTATAACAGTAGTAGCTAGTAAAGTAGCACACTTGTAAAAGTACTAGAGCACTCTGCTATTGATTACTTGCTAAGGAATAGGGAGTCATAGATGTTATTGTATGATAACATTTGCGGATTGATGGGGTCCTGTTCCAGACCTGCAATTCCATTTGCCTGTAAAAAGTACCACATGGATTTGAGGCCTGAGGCACTGACTTCTATTTTTGCTGGGGTTGGGAGGGGAGGAGATGATGGACATGTGGAAAGCTTTACTCATTTCAGGTGACAGCCCTCTTCCCAAGGGTGGCCAGGGCCCTTGGGGTCCCCAAGTATTCGGCACCTCTGTAGGAGGCTCTGAATAAGTAGTTCCACCTTCTTTTGCAGGTACAGGGTGTCTCTTTCTATCACTTCTGCTAGATACCATATGTTCAGTCACACTAATTTCTTTTCACACTGCCCTCCTTCATTCAAATGTTTTTCTGTAAGAAAGTTTACTTCTTGCAGGGTTATCACAAGAGGTAAACCAACCAACTGTAAAAACTCTTTCATCCTGAAAAAATATTCCATGTTCCTACCCTCTGAGCCATTTAGTCCATCTCATCTTCCCTATTTGTATCTGTTGAGGTCTTGATCCATATAAATATTCATGTGCATAAAGATGAACACATGCACAGTGTCTGATGGAGTGACAGTTGTCATTATTGCTGCTTAACTGTTACATTGTTGGTGTTTGCCAGCAGCCTGGTCTTTCACTAGCAATGTGACTGAAAAAAACCCAAAACACGCAGTGGAAGTATTGCACACATTTTAGTAGGCAAATGAACAGTATAGCTCTATTTTTACCACAGAAGGAACTGATTATTCAGCTGAGTTTGACAAATATGTTACCTGTCAACCATGAAAATGAATGAAGACAGGTTGTCTACAGTTGCATGCTAATGCACATACTATGAAGTGGAAGCTGAATGGGTAAAATAACCAGGCAACTTAGTGATTAGATGTTGTTATTGTTGCTATTATTATTATTGGCACTAATAATCTAATTTGTTTTTCCATTCCACAGGGCACTTACCTATTCATGTGAATAATGGTGTGTTGTGGTAATCAGCATGCATTTTAGTATTTACATTATAAAATTCAACCTGTCTGGCTACTGTCTCACCTTGCTAGGGTGTTTGTGCAAAAAAGAAACTAATATTCTTCTTTGTCAACTTTCATAAGTCCTCCCAGCTTTCGTTAAAAAATATTAACTGTACTAATGGTGGCATATATTGATTGGCATACCACATATAGAGGTAACTTGCATTTTAAAACTCTTTGGATCAAAAAGAACAATTTTATAGCAAGCACAAGATCCTGCAGTGCTCAACTATGTGCACTTTTTATAAGTAAGGACTACACGATTTGTTCTTTAAAGTATGCTCAGGAAAACACCTAAACCATGTATTTTCCAATCCGGATTCCTGAAACAAATTACATTATCCTTATTCAGGAATTTATTAGAGCAGCCAGATTTTTTAAAAGCTTTGATCGTGCAAAAATTCTGATGAACCTAACACTATTGAAAAGTTTGGCTGTTTGTTTATGTGTTTTGAAACCAAATTTTAGACCAGGGTGGGCAATTATTTCAGGCGGAAGGCTGCTTACTGAGTTTTGGCAAGCCATCGAGGGCCGCTTGACAGGCAGCCAGGGGCAGATAAATATTAATTTATTAATTAAGAAATATTAATTTTCTTAATTTGGGGGGGGCGGGGGGCCCATGGGCCGGATAGAATGGCTTGGCAGGCTGCATCCAGTCCCTGGGCCGCATTTTGCCCACCCCTGTTTTAGACTCTGTGGTTTGAATATTCTGGCCTTGATATATGCAGGTGTATCAATCATTTAAACAGATACCACATACCAAGTAACCGTTGTCTCTTTGAAAGGTCTAAACCAGGGATGCTTAACCTCTGGCCTACAGAGCCATGGCATCTGGCCCACAGGGATCCCTGTGGTTTGAAAACTTTGGCAGTGAGGAAATGCGACTGGATGCAGCCCTGCCTGAGCCACTGCTGTGCAGCAGGGTCAGCACTGAGCCTGCCTCCCACACATCAGGATCAGGCCGGGCTGCTCCCTGTCCCTGCCTCCCCTGCAGTTCTCCCACCCAACATGTCCTCAGGGTTGGGCTGTGCAATACCCTCCACCTTCCCCACAAGATGGATTGGCCTGCGCTGTGCCGGCCCAGCATACTGGAATAAAGCTGCTGGCTGGATCTGGCTCATGGATCTAGTACTGCCCATCCAGCCTGTGGGGCAAAGAGGTTGGGCACCACCAAACTAAACTTTTCAAACTGGCTGCCTAAAATTAGAGTCTCAAAGTCATCATTTAGAACCTTAAATATAGATTTTTTTTAGAAATGCAAAGTACCTACAGCTTCTACTGAAGCTAGTGAACAGCTCTGTTTAAACAAGGAACAACACTGATTTTGTTTGGGGTGGGGATTGTATTCTAATTTAGGCACGTGTAGGCTTGTCTTTACTTGATACTGGCCACATGTACACGAAATGCTCACTGTGCAGTAGCCCAATACTACTGCGCAGTAGCATCGTGTGGCAACAACTGTGACATGATGCTATTGCGCAGTAGTGTCACAAAAAAGGCATTTGTTGGCACTACTGCAGAGTAACTTGGGTTACTGTGCAGTCATTTAGTACTTGTTTATACTGTGCAGTTCTAAATGATAGGGCTATGCAAAATGGCTATGTTTTGTTTCCATTTCGGATTCAGCTGTTTTGGAGGGACAGTGATTCATTTTGGTGTTTCAGATCACTGTTCTGTTTTGATTCGGCCAAGTCTGTTTTGGAGTTTCAGTGCTGTTTCAACGCTGATTCGGACATTTGGATCAATCAGGGAGAGCCAGGCACAGCCGGGCGGCTGCAGGTTCTCCTGTGGCTCTTCTGGCTGTGCCTGTCTCTCCCCAGGTGGGGGGAATCTCAGGAAAAGTCCCCATGGCTTCCCTGCCCGGACCCATCTCCTGCCCAGCCCCAGCCTCCTGGCACTTAAAAAGAAAAAAGAAAAAGCCCTGCACTCACCAGCTGTAGCAGTGGTGATCATGGCCTCTGAGGGCTTCTGGCAGAGATCCCCCATGCAGTGGGGGACAGTGGGGATTCCCCACCCCCCCCCTTGGCACCTGCGCGGCAGCTGCCCCATGGTGCGGGTGCAGCATGGCTCAGCAGGGCACCGCGCGCTGCCTGGGAGCTGGGGCCATGGGGGCTGAGCGGTGCTGGACTCTAGATGACACGTGGAGCTGCCCCAGCTCCCAGGCAGCATGTGGTGTCCTGCTGAGCTGCGGTGCACCCGTGCAATGCAACAGCTGCTGTGTGAGTGCCAAGCAGGGGGGCGATCCCCACTGCCCTGCGCTGTGTTGAGGATCTCTGCCATGAGCTCCTGATCACTGCTGCTGCAGCCGCTTGAGTGCAGGGCTTTTTTTTTTTTTAGTGCTGGGAGGCTGGGGCCGGATGGGAGATGGAGCCGGGCAGAGCAGCCGTGGGGGCTTCTCCTGTGGCTCCTCTGGCTGTGCTTGCCTCTGCCCTGGCAGGGAGAGCCACAGGAAAAGCCCCCATGGCTGCCCTGCCCGGCCCCATCCCCCACCTGGCCTCAGCCTCCCGGCACTGTAAAAGGAGGGCTGAGGGGCTGTGCCGGACTCTTCCTGGGGATCCTCTGAAACATTTGAAACATTTCTGAAACATTTGGGATGATTTAAATTTGTTTTGGATTTGGTGTTTTGGGCACCGAAATGGGCCGAAATGCCTCTGAAATGAAACAGCTGCTGAATTTCGCACAGCCCTACTAAATGACTGCACAGTAACACAAGTTACTCTGCAGTAGTACCAATGGATGCCTTTTTTGTGACACCACTGCACAGTAACCTAATACTACTACATAGTAGCGTTATGTCACAGTTGTTGCCACATGATGCTAGTGTGCAGCAGCTTTGGGCTACTGTGCAGTCAGTCTCATGTAGACATGGCCGCTAATGGCAAGTTTTACCTTTGCTTTATAAATTGGAGACTAGATTTTGTTGATCTCAGTTAATTTTGCCAACAATTTCAGTCTGTGATTGTTTTGCTGAACTTTGGGGCCCATCTTGCAGTGCAGTACCATCAGTATTTGGGTATTCAAAAAGTCTGTCTTCTCCTTATTGGATTAAATACTCCTCACTTTGACCAAGGCCTGTTTTTCCCCTATATGTAAATTAGTCTCAGAGACAGATGCACCTTTTTGTCTGTTTAAACATAAGAAACACATTTCAGGAAGCTTACTTCTTGATACCGGCTTTCAAATTTCACTTTTATTGCTGCTTGAAATATGCTGCCTTGACTTGAGGAACTCTCTGATTTTTTTTGTTTATATTTAGTGGCATTAATGGCTTTAGAAACATAGGAAAACTTTTCCAGATTGAGTGAATTATCTTACAACAGAGATGTAACAAAAACTGAACTTTTGTAAGTCATTTTTAAATAGACCACTGCAAGAGTGTTTTAATTTTCTTTCATGGTGTAGACCTCACATTAATACAAACTAACTCCTGGTTACTCCCTTCTTCCCTTCATGATCTCATTACATCCATCACAAATACAGGGTGTTCTTACATGGAACAATATGAGGAAATCATTTGGGTTGCCTTTTCAATTGGAAATAAGGAAAAAAACTAGCACTTTGTGATCAGGTAGGTCTCTGTGATTGATCAGTTAACATTCCAGTGCAATATAACAAATTGGAGAGAGTCCAATGGAGGGCAGTGAAAGTGGTTTGGGAACTGGGGCACATGACTTCTGAGGGGAGGTTGAGGAATCTGGGCTTATTTACTTTGGAGAAGAGAAGACAGAGAGGGAATTTAATAGCCTTCAACTACCTGAAGGGTGGTTCCTAAGAGGGTGGATGATTGCAGTGGTGGCAGATGACAGAACATAGATCAATGGTCTCAAGTTGCAGCAAGGGAAGTTCAGGTTCGATATTAGGAGGAACTTTCTTACAAGGAGGGTAGTAAAGTACTGGAACAGGGTACCCAGAGAGGTGGTGGAATCTCCATCCTTGCAGGTTTTAAGATCCAGCAGGCGGGTTGGACTAGATGACCTCCTGAGGTCCCTTCCAACCCTGATTTTTATTATTCTGTTTCCATTTACCATTGTTTGAGAACCATTTGGCTACAAAATATTGCAAATTGAATACAACAGTTTACTGTTGTACACCTAAGATACTAGAGTAGGGGTTTTCAACCTTTTTTAACAAGTATACCCCTTCGGTCTCAAAGTTTCAGTTTGTGTACCCATTTATATATTTTTTTTGTTTTTAAGGGAGGAGGCAGATTGAGGCCCCCTGTGGTGAGGGTGGGAGTGGGTGTAGGGCTGGGGCAGGCACTGCATAGGTGGAGGGAGAAAAAAATATTTGGGGGGAGGGGAGGCTGAGCATCACCGCCCCCAGCAGGTAAGTCTGTGGGGGGAGGGGGAGATTGAGGCGGCCCCCATTAAGGGTGCGAGTGGGGCAGGAGTAGGGTTAGGGGGAGTGGGGCTCCAGTCTGTCTGGGTAATGGGGCACCCTTGAGCCTCTGCTTGTCCTACCACCTGGCCCAGCTTCACTCACCCCAGCCCTGCTCCTGCCCCACTCCCTTCCTCACCGCAGGGTCTTCGATCTGCTCTACCACAGTGAGGGAGGGAGTGGGGCTGGGGATTGAGCCCCCCACAGTGCAGGAGGGAATGGGGCAGGGGAAGCAGGAATTATTCACCCCTGCCCCTCTCCCTCCTGCATTGTGAGGATTGTCCCACAACCTGACCTGGCCAGGGCCCCATTCATGGTGAATTGTGCCCTGGCTGGGCCGGGTTGTGCAACAATCCCCACGGGGTGTGCGTAACACAGTGCTGGGAGTGGGGGGCAAATGGGGAGGCTCACATGTGGTGGCTAATGCATTGCACTGTGCCGTTTTCCTATGACTGCCCATGGCTCTGGGGGCTGCTGGTGGGCCTCGTGCCTGGCCAATTGCACGCTGCTGGGGGCGGGCACAAAATACACCCCCCGCCCCCGGCTGTGCAGACAGGTGGGGGCGGGGGGTGCTGCGGTGTGCTGCATGGGGCCAGTGGCACCCAGGAGGTCCCTCCCCTTGCCCCTTTGCCAGGTAAGAGGCCAACGCGCTGGGAGAGAGGCTGCTGCTTCCGCGCTCCAGGGTGTGCTCTGTCCCTGCCCACCCTCGCATAACCCCTTTGACCTAAGTACCCCTGGGGGTACATGTACCCACTGTTGACAACCCCTGTATTAGAGTATATAATATAACTGAAAGTAAATGACAGATTAGGAAGTGTTATCTTTAATTTATTTCGAAGGCCTGATGTAAATGAATGCAAATGTAGAAGAGTAATTGTTTATTGACTAAATAAGTGAGGCAGGGTAGATATGCATCTTTGTAGACTGACCGAGATACAGAGCACAAGAATTTTTGAATCCAAGTTCACTTCATCAGATTCTGTGAAAAGTTTTTTTTTATGAAAAGCTTGTGTAGCTCTTGCGGTTATGCATGTGTGTGTGCTCTCTCAGTTAATTTGTAAAAGTGCATGTTTACCTTGCCTTCTCACTGACTTCTGACTCTACATGGCTAACTACATATATTAAACAAAGTAAGTTGAACTGGATTTGTTTTTCCCGTGTTATGGTAACATTCATTATACTTACTTCCCTTTTAAATTTTTAGTTGTTAAAATGCAAATGCTATGACCCAAGTCTTACAAATGTTTGCTTGTGTGTGTTAGTTTTAACAAATGACATTTGAATTATTCACTTCACATTTAGAAGTGAATGAGACTACCTGTGAATAGAATTATTTGTTATAGCTTTCCTAGATTATTGTCTCACTCATTTTAAAATTAGAAATAGATATAATTTTTTTTTTCAAACCACGGTGCAGAATTTTCAAATGGAATTTGATTGCTTTCAGTGGTATACCATCTACTAGGTAAAATGGCCTACCAGTTAGGATTCATTTTACTGAACGAGTTTAATTCACTTTTCATCAGCTTCCTTTGGTTAAGGTTTGTTGATACAGAATACATTTTGAACATTTGTTTTAAAATATTTTGATAGTTATGAATGCAAATTGAATGTTCTGATTTCAGTGTTCAGTTTTGGAGTGTGCAAGGCCTAACTGAGTCTAAAGATTCTAATTTAACTTCTATTAAAAGAAAAAAGTGATTTCCAGTATAGTGGAGGAGTCTCTGACTTTGTGTTCTTAATTATTTCCTCACACTTTAAAATCCTTCTTTACAAATACTATCATCTGAAGAAAGCAAGGTCAAAACTACTTGTCAAAGCTGCTTTACTTCATCTGTCTGATTTTTATGAGCTCTTGCTGGATGTTTTCTGACACTTGGAAACAGCATATATTCATCAAACTAAAACTGATAGAGTCAACTTGCTAGTTTTGGCTAGACTTACGATCAATTTGACAGTGCCACCTGAAGAATGGGTAGAACCAGTAGACTGTGGTGACGCCTGAAAATTAAGAAAGCAGATCCAGAAACAGTACTAGGAACTTACGCTGTTGCAAGTAATGGTAGAAGAACTGGGATAGATTTGCTACCTGCTGAAAGCTGAGTTCCTGCAGCAAGAAATACGAGACTTTGCCTGCTGCAGTCAGTATGTCAATACTCCATGCTCACTTTTAGAAAGGATTGATTGACATAACAAGTCTTCCGTTTTTTCTTAGCTTTACTGTGTGTTTCTTGTGCGCGTCTTGTGAATTTTTACGTATTCACAATTTATTTGTGTTGAGGCTGAAACAGCCTTATGTTTACCACTCTGTCACCATTTTCAGTTGTTTCATATACCATCTTAAAGCTAACTTTTTATTTGCATTATACACCTTCTCAAGGCATTTTCTGTTATTCCTGGCTCTGCACAGTTGGTTAAAAGATCTTATTACTCACCCCATTATTGTGACACTCTTACTAACCCCAGTACTTTGTTTTCAAGTCTGTTTGCATGACTGCTTAATCTTCGTATTTCTTGGGATGGAAACTGCACCTTTTAGAATCCAGCCATCTCACATTTGCCAAAATTTTGCTTTCAAGGCAGCAGTTGCATGTTTTTGTTTAATCATCATCCTGTTGATGAAGGTTGCACTTTTTATACTCAGGCAGCCTCACATTGGTTGCTTGCACAACTAAGATTGATTTGCTTTGATTTTATTTCAGTGCGAAGCAGATTGAGGGCTATAGTGGGAGCTTCTACCAACTGGAGGTACAGTGTACATTAAATGTATTTTTCTTTTTTTTTGTCTCATCCTAGAGAGAACTCACCTTCATAGTAATGGAGATTGGTGAGGCTCTCCATTAAGCTATGGGAAAGATGCCTCACCAAGACTGGGAGAAGCAAGGCAAATGGAAGGGTTTTGAATTCGGAATAATGGACAAACACACTTCAACTGCTTTAAAAGGGGAGGGGAAAATTGCTGTTTAGGAGTGCACAGCAGCCATTTCTATCTAACTTATACTTCATGTTAGTTATTAGAATTCAAATGAGATTTTTTTTCCCCCATTCATCACGGGGATGCCACGATGTTTGGATTAGCTGCTTGGCATCACCTGGCAAAGGGGACTAGATGTTATTATATAAAAAAAAAATGTCTCATCAGTCATCTAGGTGGAGAAGGGGGAAAGAAAGCAAAAGTAAAGCCGTTTATAGGGAGAAGGAGGAATAGAGCACAAAGACACTCTGTGATATGGCAGAGAAGATATAGAGGAGGTGGAGGAATTGTGGGTAGCGTAGGGGACTCATTGAATCTGAAAGACCACTTAAGTATGGTAAGGACACAGAGGGGAGGATTGATGAAATGGTTGTTTTGTTGTTTTATCCTTTTGTGAGCACTAAAGAGTAATGGTGTTTGCAGCCTGTGTGTCATGTGCCTCCCTTGTCACATGGGTCTGAGGAGGTAAATTGTAAAACCACAGGGCCTACAGGACTGGAGCTCTTGGGGAGAGGCTGCTCTTAAGTTACTGGTAAGTCTAGGGGGTCTGCACTGGACCTGAGAGCCAAGGGCAGTGGAAACATGAAGTCCTGCTTCAGTGAAGGGAAAACAGATGGAGGCTGTACCTGGACAGCGTTCAAGAGACTAAAGAAAGAGAAAGTGCTGTAGCCTGCTGAGCCCAAGGGAAACTTAAGAGTACATGGGTCCACTCTGAAACCTGGTGAATGCCCAGAAATGGGAGCTCAACTAAGGCTGTATCATTGGGATACACAGACATTTGGATTTCTGTTACAGGAAAACAGGATGGAAGAATGTTTTTAGCTGCTAAGTTCTGTTTCTAGGATTTTGTAGTTGGCATTTGGGTGACGACTTGTATTTCAGCATTCTAAAAATATGGTTGTGAGGATTGTTATTACCATATGCCTAACATTAAATATTTCTGTGTTTATGAAACTATATATTCTTACATTTCTGGGGTGAAATCCTGTCTTCACTGACTAGGAGTTTTGCAGTGGACTTGAATGGAGCTAGTATAGGGTGGGCATATCATAACTGAACTTTTATTGTTCATTGAGAGTGGGTGTAAGGACTTTTTGCATTTGTACCTGTGACTTTTGATGTACCTCAGACCTCTCTTAAAATTTGCCTAATCTGTGAAACTTTTTTTCTGATATCCTACCCTAAGCAGATATGTCTAGACAAGAGCAAAAAAAGTATTGAGTTGTATCATCTCAGCCTCACATCTTCACTTAGCTGTGTAATATATTCTGAGTGCATTCAGCTGGCTGTAGAATGTAAAGCTTTTAGATTGGGAAATTGTATCTATTCTGTTTGGTACTATTATTACAGGCTGGTCAAAATAAATCAATATTTCACAAATTTTTGGAAGCAGTGAAAGTTCAAGATTTTCTGTGAATTTTTTTATATTTGTTGATTAAACATTAAAAAAAATTCTTACAACTTTTTCTTAAAAATTTGCAAAAATTGTTTTGGTGATGGAGGAAAGACACCCCCCCCCCCCGAAAACACCTACAGATGGTTTGGTTGGTTTTTTTTTAAAGGGTTTGGAAAATATGGTGAAATAGTCCTCAGTTTTGAAACAATCTCTTGAAGTGCTTCTTTTTGAAGCTTTTTTTAAAACTTCTGCTTTTTTCCAAGCAGTCCTCTGGTATGCCACGGTGTGCGGTTGCTCCTGGGGTGGGAGGCAGAGTGGGGTGGAGAGCTAGTGAGTATTCTCTTGTGCTCTTGTCTGTCATAAGTAAGCTCCAGAGACCAAGAGGCATGCAAGGAATCCACCTCTTTAGCAAGGGGGCTGGAGAGAATTCCTTGCACGCCTCTTGGACTCTGGTCTTCCGAAGTACCCAGGGAGTGGATGCATTGACTGTCTGTCCTGCTCTCCTCTCACTCCCTTTTGGGGAGAGGTGGCAGAACACCAAAGGATGCCAGAAGACTGAGCAGGGGACTCTGGGATGCCAGAGGACCTATTGTGTCCCATGGCTGGAGAGCACTGCTGGTGCATGCTGTTCCATCGACTTTTGGAGAACACTATTTGGGAGAAGGGGAGCAAGGAGGTGGTGCGCATCTGTACAGCATGGAAGCACTTGGAATTTGGAGCAGATTAAATCCACATCTATCTGTGTCCTTTGGCATTAAACTGGAAATCTTGCCGGTTGAAAAAATACGGGTATTCTATTTTTTTAACTCTCTATTATTGAGCCTCAAATGGAAGGGATAGATTCAGTGAACTGATGTGGAAGAGAAAATAAACTGCTGGGAATGGGGTTGAAGATGAAGTAGACATGGGGTCACAGTTCCTTTTCTTGAAGCTGATTTGAAAGACACAGTCTAGACCTATTCTGGACAGATTTGATATATACAATGAGCTAAGTGATAGTAGCTCTGAGCCATATGAGTTGCACACTAATTACTGGGTTAAACTATGGTTGATCAAATGCTTCTAGGTAGTGCAGGACTTCAGTAATTGCATTACACCATTCAGGGTTGGTGACACATGCACATCACACGTGCACTTTAAACTCTGTACAAAGATTATTTTATTATTATTTATTATTTTATTGCAGTTTTTGTACTACAAACTTTGCATTCTATTTCAAGATTGCATTATAAACTTACTTTTACTTTTGGTGCTTGTGGCTTATGTCTTTCTCCTCAAATCACTCTTTTGTGACTGCTGCTGTTCCCTTAGCTTTCTACACTCATCTAGAGCAAAGCATATCATAGGTAGGGCTGCACCCTGTAGTGTACTGACATCCTCAATGTGTAGTGTTTCTTTTCTTCCCAGAGACCATGTGCAAGCCATGCAAGAAAGGAAAGCTCTACATACCTTACTGGCCCAAAAGCAGGAAGACCTGCCTCCCAAGAAAATGAAAGACAGCTACATAGAGGTCATTTTGCCTCTAGGGAGCCAACCTGAAATAAGAGAGAAATATTTGAATGTACACAACAGTGTAAGGTAACATACTTATAAATACTAATTCCTGATTTCCTATTAATATAGAACTCCGATTCTCATGTAAAATTATTTTATCATAGGTTTGGAAGGATTCTTGAAGATCTTGACAGCTTAGGAGGTATGTAATTATGCTCGTACATTTAAAGCACATTTACTGTTTTGCTGTTTTCAATAAATTATTTTATAATAGTGTAATATATTATGTGTTTATATTCTGTACTAGCAAATTGCCTGTCAAGAATGACAGGCGGGCAGGTACACAGGCCCACATCCAGTGTCCGTCTGTCCCCCCCACTTTGGGTCCAGGTCCAGGCCTGTCCACCCTCAGCCCCCACTTCAGGTCCGGGCCCATTTTCCCCCCCCTCTCCTCCCTGTTGCCAGTTTGGGTCTGGGCCTGCTTCCCTCCCACCCCTTTGGCTCTGGGCCCGTTCCCCCGCCTTCCCCCGTGCCACGCCTCTGAAGGAGCTGCTGGGCTCTGATTGTCCCATGGCCCGGCCAGAGCCCCAGTCACCATGAATGGCGCCCTAGCCGGGCCAGGTTGTGGGGCAGTTGGAACCCAGCAGGGGTGTGTCACAGGGGAGCCAAGGTGGGGGCCATGGCCCGCTGGTCTGTGCTGCCTTGACAGCGGCGCGGCACCATGTACCTCTTCCCAGCCCTCCCAGTGGCAGGACTTGCGTGGTGCTGTGCCGCTGTCAGAGCAGCGCCAGCGAAGCATGAAGCAGAGGCTGAGTTCAGCCCACCTCTGCATCCCGCCCTTGCCCCATGCACAGACTGGGGGGCCATGGGACCTGCCCTTGGTTCCCAAGAGCCATGCACCTGGATGAGCCGCCATGCTCTGATTGCCCCAGAACCTGGCCCAATCACCAGCGATGGGGCCTCGGCTGGGCTGGGTTGTGGGGAAATCAGAGCCCAGCTGCTTGTCCAGGGGCTTGGCGCAGGTTAGCCAAAGGGGGTGGGGGGGGATGTGCCCTGCTCTAGTGGCTCCTCCCATTCCTGGCCCTGTGCTCCCTCCTACCTCCTGCTGCTCCACCCTGTGCTGCCTCCCAGGAAGGGGGTGGTAGTTTGTACATGGCAGCCATAGCTGCCACCCCATGCTGCTCCCCCACTTGTCCAACTACCCCACTCACCCTCCCTGGGCAGAGGTGGTTGTGGGGCAGGCAGATGTGGCGCTGCAGGGCCGCGCTGTACTGCGTCCACTCCCCTACTCTCCCTTCCCACCGCCTCCTACTCCCTGCCGGCTGTGGTCTGGGGGCGCACTGCACCTCCTGACAACAGGTGGCAGGGGGTGGAAGGCAGTGGGGAGGGGAACAGATGTGGTCTGCCACGCGATGAGGCAGCACCCTGCAGTGGCAAGCCACGTGGCCACGCCCCGCAGTAGGCAGCATGCTGTGGCATGGAGCACACTGTGGCAGTCTGGGTGCCACATTGCACCCCTGACTCCCTGGCCAGCTCCTTGGCCCCTGTCTGCCTCTGCCGCCTCCTGTCTATCTGTAATGTTCTGGGCCAGCCAATTGCCACCTGCCCTGAGGGCAGCGCATGCGCAGTTGGCCTGGAGCGTTACAGACAGACAGACTACGGCTTTTATTGTATTAGAATTTTATAATAGTTTAGTAGTATCGGTCCTCAGCCTCTTTTGGGCTCAGACCAAGTGTAGTGCCTGTTCTGTGTTTGAGGATGGGTTGTCCTTTCCAAAAAGGAAAACGGGACAATCTAATAGTCTTCTCGGAAGAGAAAGATGTATAGCAAGGAGTAAAGAGAGGGGAAATCTTCCTATTTAGGTTTACAACTGCTTGCCTCTGTCAGATCTAAACAAATATGCTGGAAAATATTAATAACAAAATGCAGACCAACAGTGGGCTGTTTTAGGTGAGACTGGGAAGCTACAAAGGAAAGTACTCTTTGGAAAGGGTCAATTTCTTAGTTCCCTCAAAGATGGAGAACTGTTGGAAATTATACCAGGCCTTGCAAAGCTGTTATAGCATAGGGTGTATTTGGAATAAAAGGACCACTGGAGGGATCACCAGGGTGGAAATGAACCAGGAAGGCAGTGTGTCACAGAATAAGGAGCAGGAAATACGGAAAATAAGCAGTTTTTCTCTTAATATAAGAATGTGAGCCTATCCAACAAAACTGAAAGGCAACACGTTTTAAAACTGATATACAGAAATAATTGATATAATTGTTGTCTTTAGATATTGCTGAGTCTAAGAACACAGAAAAATTAAAAAAGATATGGAGAACATCTGGAGTCCTATTGGGCAGGACATAAAATTAGAGGAGAGAGAATCTTTCATTTGAGGGTAGTAGTAGGCATCCGTCTATCTCGTGATAACCATAGAATTATGTTGAGTGAGAAAAAGGTCACTCCAACTTTGCTTTCTTTCAAGTGAGTATTGCATTCAGCAAGGTGATGTCTTGCGCATTTAAATTAACCACCAGTTGTTTGAGGTTAGGAGAATTTTCTTGTATCAGTAAGTAATCTGAGTCAGTTTATAAAATTGTTACAGTTTCCTTAGGACCAGGATGTTACTGTTTCAATGAGTGACCAGTAACAATGGACTCCTGGTCTCATTCGAATTGATAATTCCTGTTTCTGTGGGATTAAATAAAGAGTAGAAGGAGCATTATTAGTTAGTGAAAAATGCTCCTTAGTGAGAAATTTATTTTAAATGGGGGAAGACTTGGGGGAGAATATGATAGAGGTCTATAAAATCATGAGGGGTGTGGATAAAATGAATAAGGAACAGTTTCAGAATACATGAACTAGGAGGCACACATTGAAATTAACAGGGGGTAGGTTTAAAATAAATGAGAGAGAGTACTTTTTTACATGGCACAGTTAACTTGCAGAACTCATTACCACACAAAATTGTAGGATTTGATAGTATAACCACGTTCAGAAAAGGATTAGATAAGTTCATGGAGAGCAAGTCCACTGATAGTTATTAAATAGAACAGTCAAGGATCTCACAGAATGCATCTGTAAACCAATGGTGGTTGCAACCAGGGAGGGTAGGAACGGGGAAGGATTACAGAGGCTGTGCCCTGTACGTGTAGTCTCCTGCTAATGTATCTACTACTTACCACTGTGAGGGGCAAGATATTGGGCTAGATGGACCATTAGTCTGACTTAATATGGTATTAATTATGTTTTAATATGAAACTTTAATTACAGAGGGCAGTGGTTAAGTTGAGTAGGGAGGGGCACAGTATAAAAAATTTGACAGATGGGTTTTAAAAGATCATAAAATTTAATGTTTTCCTATTCTGATAGCAACAGGGTGGGGAAGAACATTGAAGAAAAGTAGGATGCCGTAGGGTTGCAAAGCATGGAATTTATCTTGTGTGGACAAATATGAGTCATTTGGCAACGGTCCAAAACAGCTACATAGCAGTACCTGGACTGTAGAGGTAGACATGGTGCTAAGGTGTAGGTGAAGAAGTTATGCATTCAGACCTGGCACTGAAAGTCTACTAATGTTCTGTTGTCATTTTCTGTCTAGACTTCTTCACTGACAGCCTTTAAAGGGTGTGAGATACTTAACTTTTTCTTTACAGGTGAAAGTAGTGCTGGGTTGCCGATATGAGTATGGGGAAATTTTTTACTTATGACTCCAAGGAACCTTTGTTTGTTAGTTCTATAGCTGGTTGGGAATTCTGTCGAAAAAAAAAAAAGAGAGACATTATCTTGATGAGATGAAAACTTTTTTCAGGAACATTGGAAACAGCTTTATTTTTTCTTTTTTTGAGGCGGAGACTATTCAGGATGGTCAAAATGACAGAGAGAGAGACCATCCTGTTATAATCAGTAACCTGATGGTTGCAACCTTCCCTAGGCATGTGGGAAAATGTGATGCAAGTCTCTGGTCTGAATCAGAGAAGACCTGAACCATACTCTTTCAGACTTCTGGAACTGCCCCAGTTAGTGGGCTGTTTGTTGTTCTGGGGTGGGTTTGATTTTCCTGAAAGTCTTAGAAGGCTTTGGATTTTGTCTTGATACTGAATGGAAAAAAATATTTGAAATCTGAAACATCCATCTTTATTCAGTTCTGTCCAGAGTGTAATAGTTTCAGTCCAGAGAGGATACATGCCCAATTATGAAATGATAATACTTGTGTAAAGCAGTTTGCAAATGATACTACTTGTGGAAAGCATTACATGTGCAAATGTAATGTGTTAGAGCATCCCCTGCAAATGGGTTATGTGAGGGAATGACAGTCTCCTAGTTTTTTTACCAGCTGGAAGTGATAGTTTGTTAAATTACTTTTGGGCCACTGTTGAATAACAGATTTAAGAATTTTTAGAGTTGTGGTGTCCTTGGAGGATACAAATGTAGATTATACCTATTTTTTATCATGTTTTCGGGGGGGAGAAAGGTCTTTCTCATTCTGTTCTTTTTAGTCTGAGCCCTGTTTTAAAAACAGCCAAATATTTGGTCACAAAAGTGAACATTTTAAGTTCACATAGCATAGTCACTAAAAAATCCCATGCGGTACAGAAGCACTCATGACCAAAGGGAATTATTTAAAAAAATGGTCTGGCTTATGTTGAATAAAGTATTATAAGCAGATCAGTCATTTTTACCCTTTCTGGATGAATTCTTATTTGGTTCTGGCTTTATTTGAGTTTAATGGGTATCTTTCATTCTGCATCACAAAGACTACATTGTGAAGTGTGTTCCACTGCTCAATTCGTTTAAAAATTATGGAGAACAGATAATTAACCCCCTTGTTCTCTCCACAGTTCTCATTTGTTACACGCACACCAAGCATGAATCTCACCAGCGATCTCCTTTATCAATAGTTACAGCCCTGGTGGATAAAATTAGTAAGTAGTCATTTGAGCTGGTCTCTTCTATTATTGTGCAGTAATTAGTAATTCCTACATAATTTGGGTAGAAACTGATTTGTTTCTTTCTTCCATTTGTATTACTTTATTTTCCTGCTAATTTTTAGTGCCTTGTGTTATTTCTTAGATACTGTTTTGCTTTTTCTCATGACCCTCTTTCCAAAAAAGTGAATATTTTATGTTCTAAATGCTTCTTAATTGCATTTTTGCATCAGTCAGTCATTAGTCTACATGTAAACAGGCCAGTGTTTCTTTTCTTAGCTTGCCTCCCAGGTCATGCCTTTCCCTGGATCACTACCCCTGCCTGCTCCTCCTCACTACAGTGGGGGAAGAAGGCTGGTTTAAAAAGTGAGAGAGCTACCTCTACCAACAGGGAATTCCCATACACCAGCGGAAATTTCCATGAATTTCCTTCCAAGGGAGGTGGTGCTGGCCCCTACCCTGGGGGTCTTTAAGAAGAGGCTGGATGCCTACCTGGCTGGACTCATTTGAGTCCCGTTTTTGTTTTTAGGGTTTTTTGTTGTTCTCCCGCCCTGGCGGGGGGTCGGGCTAGAAGATCTATTAGGTCCCTTCCGACCCTAAAACTATGAAACTATGAAACTATGGGCTATCCCTGAATGCTTTGCATTGCTTATATAGTCTGAAGTGACCACAGAGAATGGAAACCCTCGCTATTTAAAAATACTAAACTTTAGCTGTTCTGTTACAGTCTAATGTATGTCTCCTAGATTTGTGCAAGAAGGTCATATACCCAGACTGTGATATCAAACTCACTGGCAGTGTTTCTTGGGTTGGGAAGACATCAATGGAAGTAAAGATGCACATGCTTCAGGTGAGTTTTTGTGAACTTTTTTCGTTTATCCTGTATTGGAAAGCTGTCTTTCTTCTAAGATACTTTGGACATTTCTGAAGCAATTATTGGTGATACGAGTAGTAACCTAAATTTAACTGACTGAGATGACTATTTTAGGGGTCCCCTAAGTTTTAGGACCTAGACCAGTGCTTCTCAAAGTGGTGGTCTGCGGACCGGTGTCTGTCCATGAGCCACCCGTCGCTGGTCCGCAACGAGTTTCCAGGAAAGAAAGAAATATATTTTCAGAAGCATAACATTGATGTCATAGCGCCACAGTTTGTACGTTCCAACACTCCAGGTGACATCACATCATGCGAGGTGAAGAAAGAGAAAGAAACAGCTGGTTGCGCATTTGTGTAGCGCTGTTACATTCAGTTGCTACCACTGGCTGAACCGTACACCAGTCCCTGGCCCACTGGAAAAAAAAATTGCTGGTCTGCCACATCAGATAGTTTGAGAAGCACTGACCTAGACAACTACCAACAGCTTAGGACTGGGAAGATACGTTACTACTTGCCCTTTCTCTCCAGAGTTATTTCTTATAAGTGTATCTTCCACTAAAGTAGCCAGTGCTGTTATGGTTGGTTGGTATGGTGGAGTGTGGCAGTGTCCAGACCTTACTTTGCTTCTCAGTGACCACTTGCTCACTTTCTGAATTTTTTTCTCTGTATTTTAACATCAAAATAATAGAATGTCAGTGTTTCATACTGAAATGGGATGCCGTAACTTCATATCTTCTAGCATTTAAATAATATCACTTCTTAGACTATTAAGAAAATTTATTCAATACTTATTGGAAATGGATGAAGTTCTTTGGAATAAGACATTTTTACTCAGGAGCACAGTTGGCCTACAAAAATCTAGTTAGCTCAGTAGTGCAAAATTTATTAGTAAGCAGTCAGTGAAAAATTAACAGATATTTGTTTATTCATTTATTATCATTTATTTATTACTAACATTACTTGTTATTAACAAATGTTTAATTATTTGACCACTTCACTACACTTTCACTACAATATACTAACATAGCAAATCATTCAAGACTAAAGATTCCATAAACTCTTTCCTTCAATTATGCTATTGACCACAGTAACTGTTTTCTTATCTAGTTGGTCTCTTGAAAGCTAACTTTGCTACTGTTGAACATTTAGAAGATAAAGGTTAATCTACTGCTCTATATGTCACTGTTTTCTTGATGCTAATTAGATAGGCAAGGCTGCAGTGGCAACAGGCTTTTTGCATGATGTTTTTAGAATAAATGATAACTCCCATTTTTCTGTGTGGGTCGGTGTGTAAGAGAGAGGGTGCATGTGCATGCATTTGCATGGTTGTTTTGGGAGTATAAGTGATAAATTTTAATCGGGAAGCAACTGCTAGCTAGGGTAACTTGTATCAGTGCCAACCAGGTATGCTGAAATTTTGGTTAAAGTATAGTGTTAGATTGTGCACTTCCTCTGCCTTTGGCTCATTGGAAGAGGACTGGAAATGAGTGAAATAATGTGGGAGTAAACAAGTACAGCTTAACTGCATTGCTCACTTACTTGGATGGCCAGCTAAACAAGCACTATATTGTAGAGATTAAAGCTGTACTTGTTTGGCTTGTCTTTTAGGAATATGATGGTGTTTACAGCCCTGTATTAGATGCAACCTTTGTCATGGTGGCTCGTGATCCAGAAAACAAAAGGTAATTAGAATAATAATAAGTAGAAGATGTTGGCAGTGGTGCTTTATCTAGATTGCTGTGATTGTAAAATAACTCTTGTCTACGTAGGTAACTGTATTACTTTGGTTATACATAAAGGGTATACTTGGCTTGTTCTGTTGAGAAATAAGAGGGATATTTGTGTTTACTCTTTTGGGAGAACTAAGGGCACTGTAGAAATAGTCAGTGATATTTATCAGAATAGTATACTTTGCTCTTGGAAACTTTTGTGTCATTTGCTTCTTTACTATAATGGGTTTCTGGAATTTGGGTAGTAGGCTGATTAACAGGGAGGAGGAAAAGTTAGCTAAAATCCCATCACCAGTCTATAGTAAGCATTAGTAACAGTGGGTCACCCTCTCTGATTTAGGGAGAGAAGGGCTGAAGCCTATCTTGTAAAGAGATGACTTGTTCAAATAAATACACCTTTTAATGCCATAGTGGAAAACATTAGTAATACTTTGAAGGAATCTGTCAATCTGAAATGATTTGGTAACTGGGACTGATGTGTAACAGTCTTTCCAAATAATTTACTAATCTATATGTCCTTATCTTGCTGTTTCTACTTTTCTGCGTTTTATTTTGCTTGGTCATTAGGGGGAAAGTAAAAATCAGTTTCACTTGTGGTTTATATAGCACTAACACTGCTGTTGGAGTTTAAGCACAACACCTATGCCCTCCTTGTTTTACTCTATCTGTTTGTAATTACATTACACAACTATATGTATGTAATGATGAAAATGAATTAAGTTTTTATCTTAAAATAGATCAGTGCCCCGACATATAATTCAGTAGTTGCATGTTTGTTGTCTAGTTTATAAAATATCAGTCTTAAACAGATCCTTACTAGTATAGTATTTGAGACCTTTATAGTCTTTAAATATGAGTACAGCCTTACCATCCCACTACCAAAGGAAGTATTACTGTCTCTATGTATCAAGAGGCAGTTGAGTCACAGAGAGCTCCAAATGAAACCAAATGCCTTCAGTGCAGCAGAAATTGACTTTAACCACTAGATCATCCATCCAAACCTACAGCTACTTTCCCAAAGTATGAAGTGTGCAAAATAAGAAAAAGACCACCCCACCACTCAGATCAGACAGAAAAGCTGGGCTCTGCGACATGGCTGGGAAATCAGTAGAATTGGGCTCAGTTGTGCTAGAGGTGGAGAGAGTGAATTCTAAACAAAAGAGATCTCACAGGCAGTTATCAGCCAGCAAACCCCTGGAAAGATGGGGACCAAACATAAGCTACCTACTTGGGTAGTTATCATGGTGAGAACATATTGTCTGTGTGGTTGGGTTTTTTATGTTCTGAACATAATGTTAGCAGCAAACAAGGAATTGCAAAAGTTACAGAGGAGGAGGATTCTTAAAATAAATGAGCAGCTTGTCTTGCAAAAAAAAATGCTTGATGTTGCTAGAATTAGACTGTAATAGAAATATGGAGAGAAATAAGCAAATGAGTAGAACTCTTGCCAACTTTCTTTTTCTTGTTTGGCAAGTGATATGTACAGTAAACTGCTTCAGTTGCTGATAAGGTTGTGGCTGGAAAGTGTAGATTATGAATGCTTCTTCTCCCAGAAGTTTTCTGCCAGTCAAGGTTAATTTCGTTACTATAAATTCACAGCTTGAATTACAGCATTTATAAATGGTTTCCTGTTTTCTTTAAACTCTTGTATGAAGACTTTAGTTACATTAAAGCTTCTTAAAAGGATTATGATTATATGAGGGAGTCTCCTTTAATTACTGTATTGTCTGTTGAGCAATAACCTGTGATATTCCATATTCTGTAGGGCACCAACTAGATATAGCTTTCAGTTTTATAAAGGTGTGTCTTTTTTTCTTTGCATAGGGTGTATGTTAATAGAAATGAAGGGATGTCTACTGATCTCTACTCTTATGTACTTACACAACCTGTAAAGTGTATAACTTTTAAAATTATTCACATCTGCAGGTCAGCATTTGTTAATCCGTTAATTCCTGATGGCCCAAGGGAGGAAGAAGTGTTCAAGCAAGGAGCATGTAAGTAATAATGTCTGTGTTCTTTGTGGTAGTGTGAGTAACTGGGAAAGAATGGAATTCAGAAATTCTATTACCAGGATTTGCCATTAATTTATTTGGGGAAAAGAATTACTTTAATCTCACAGGTGTGATAGAATTCTTGGGGAGGGATCTGATTTTTGAAATATGTCTCCTTTTACATCCTCCAAATGTATAAATGTTCAGATGCAGGGTTTTGTTCAGGCCTATCTCTGGTTATTTCTGTTTTAATATGACACTGGTACACTGAGTGCTGAACCTAGTCTGAGAATAAGGAAGCACGATGTTTCGTAATGCAAGCAAGCAAGCAAAACCCAAACATTTAGTTCTATGCTTCCTGAACTTTTACATTTTGCCTTATCTCTATTACTTGAATCTTGGCACATAAAGTAATTCAATATTGTGCCTTAATATCTGGTCATTAAAGCTTTCTCAGGATAGCATTTAAACATATATGTAATGTTAAATATGTTGTCAAGTCTCATGTTAAGTGCTGAGGTTCCCTGGTGGTCTAGTGGTTAGGATTTGGTGCTGCCACAGCCTGGGTTCCATTCCTGGTCAGGGAAGATGCTTTTTTGGTGGTGGATGGGTTGTTCTTGGCCTGGAATGAGGTGGGCAGTGGGGTCTGGCAGGGTTTGGTCATTGGACCGGTGTTATTTAATATCTTCATCAGCGATTTGGACGAGGGTGTGGAGAGCACCCTCTCCAAGTTCACAGATGATACCAAGTTATGGGGCAGAGTTAACACACTGGAGAGCAGGGAGCAGATACAGGCAGACCTGGACAGGTTGGATCAGTGGGTGGAATGAAATAGGATGCAATTCAAGAAAGATAAATGTAAGGTACTCCACCTAGGAAGGAGGAATCCCCAGCACACCTACAGGTTTGGGGATGACCTTCTCAGCAGCTCAGAGGCTGAGAGAGATCTTGGAGTCCTAGTTGACTCCAAGATGAACATGAGCCGGCAGTGTAACGAGGCCTCAACAAAGCCAGTTGCACCTTGTCGTGTATTAGCAGATGCATGACCAACAGATCGAGAGAGGTGATGCTCCCCCTCTATGCGGCATTGGTAAAGCCACAGTTGGAGTACTGTGCCCAGTTTTGGGCACCGCACTTCAAGAGGAACACGGAGAATCTGGAGAGGCTTCAGAGGAGGGCCACTCGCATGATTAGTGGCCTCCGTGAAAGACCCTACAGGAGGAGGTTGAGAGATCTGGATCTCTTCAGCCTTTACAAAAGATGGCTGAGGGGTGACCTTGTAGCTGCCTATAAGTTTATCAGGGGAGGACAGCAGGGAATTGGTCCAGAGTGACCCAGGGAGTAACTAGGAATAATGGGTGCAAACTAGTGGAGAGTAGATTTAGGTTAGACATTAGGAAGAATTTTTTTTACAGTAAGGGTGGGCAGAGTCTGGAATGGGCTTCCAAGAGAGGTGGTGCTATAACCTAACTTGGAGGTCTTCAAGAGGAGGCTAGACAGTCATCTGGCTGGGGTCATCTGACCTCGGTCCTCTTTCCTGCCAGGGGCAGGGGGTCGGACACGATGATCCATTGGGTCCCTTCTAACTCTATAATCTATGAATTTGAGGCCCAATTTGACATCTTTTGAAGGGGAAAGATTTTTTTGTGTGGGTGCTTGGTAACTGGAGGCTCGTCTTAAGTTGGATAGAGAAAAATGGAATAATTCACTATCGCTGTTTGCTCGTCTCTTTATATCCTAAGTCACTTCCATGCTACTTGACATGAGATATAGAGCAGGTTATTGTTTGTATTACGTGTATACATCTCACATCCCCGGTGTCTCTGTGGTGACTTCATAATGCATGCCATCAGTAAAAAACCACAACTTAAGCTTTAAGGCACAAATTCTGGTGAACAGCTCGGGGCATTTTGTTTTAAGTTAATTTTTTGTTTACCTTCAAAGGTGAAAACACATAAAACACCAAAAGCATCTTAGAACTGTTATTCTTTTGAAAGATATCTATCGCCTATTCAGTACATTTTAGAGTATTATAGTTTCAGCGATTCAAGAAGCAGAAGAGTTGCACACTAGGCCTGTGCGAAGCGGCTAGTATTTGCCTTGGATTTGGCTGATTCGGGGGACAGTGATTAGAATCACCAAATTGAATCACTGTCCCAAATCGATTTGGCCAAATCTGATTCAGAGATTTGGCCACATCTCCGAATGAAACAGGCCCCATCCCCTGCCTACTCTCCCAGCCCCATCAGTGGCTGCCCCACTTGGCCCCAGTGTCCCGGGTCTTTTTAAAAAAAAAAGCCTTGCACTCACTGGCTCCTGCCAAGCAGGGGGTGGGAGGTGATCCCCAATGCCCCATGCTGCATGGGGAGCACTCTGCCAAGAGTCCCCAAGAGACGGCTGCTGCAGTAGCTGGTGAGTGCGGGGCTCTTTTTTTAAAGAGCCCGGAGCTGGGGCTGGGCAGGGCAGCCATTGACACAGCTGGGAGAGCAGGCGGGGTGGTGTTCAGGGGGGGCTGGGGCCTGGCGGGGGTCCCCCCATGGTCCTGGCCCCACCCTCTCCCCTCTGCCCCCTACTTAATGGCACGGAGTCTGGGTCCAGCTCCCTGCGGCAGTGAGTGGCGACTGCCAGAATCTTCGAAGCTCTCTGGATCTTTTCTGAATTGATTCAGACCTTTTTATTCGTCTCCCAAGTTCGATTCAGATTTGGCCACCAAATCGGGCCAAATCTCCTCTGACTCGAATCAGCACCCAAAGCTTCGCACAGCCCTATTACATGCCCTTTGTTCTGTTCGGCTCTTTTGCCCTTGTCTGCAGTTGCATTCCCTAGCCCAGCACACTCTAATGGCATTTCTCTGAAGTGACCATTTCAAAATAAAGCACTTGAATGGGTGAAATCCTGGTCCCACTAAAGTCGGTTGTAAAAGTCCCAGTGATTTCAATAGGGCAGATTTTTTTTTCTTTATTTTACATGCACTAATTTCCAGTGTAGTGTAAGGCTTAGTCCAAGAGACTTTGAATACAAAAATCTTTTAATCTGCTAAAGAATTAAAAAATGTTGGGAGGAGCAGATTCAAACAACTCAAAAGACTTCAGGAAGGCCTTCGATACGGTATCCCACCCCATACTGGTGAACAAGTTAAGAGGCTGTGACTTGGATGACTACACAGTCCGGTGGGTGGCGAATTGACTGGAGGGTCGCACCCAGAGAGTCGTGGTGGATGGGTCGGCTTCGACCTGGAAGGGTGCGGGCAGTGGGGTCCCGCAGGGCTCGGTCCTTGGATCGATACTCTTTAATGTCTTCATCAGCGACTTGGACGAGGGAGTGAAATGTACTCTGTCCAAGTCTGCAGATGACACAAAGCTATGGGGAGAAGTGGACACGCTGGAGGGCAGGGAACAGCTGCAAGCAGACCTGGATAGGTTGGACAAGTGGGCAGAAAACAACAGAATGCAATTCAACAAGGAGAAATGCAAAGTGCTGCACCTAGGGAGGAGAACTGCGTGCAATTCTGGGCGCCGCAATTCAAGAGGGATACGGATAACCTGGAGAAGGTCCAGAGAAGGGCCACTCATATGGTTAAGGGCCTGCAGGCCAAGCCCTACGAGGAGAGACTAGAGAACCTGGACCTTTTCAGTCTCCGCAAGAGAAGGTTGAGAGGCGACCTTGTGGCTGCCTATAAGTTCATCACGGGGGCACAGAAGGGAATTGGTGAGTATTTATTCACCAAGGCGCCCCCGGGGGTTACAAGAAATAATGGCCACAAGCTAGCAGAGAGCAGATTTAGATTGGACATTAGGAAGAACTTTTTCACAGTTAGAGTGGCCAAAGTCTGGAACGGGCTCCCAAGGGAGGTGGTGCTCTCCCCTACCCTGGGGGTCTTCAAGAGGAGGTTAGATGGGCACCTAGCTGGGGTCATCTAGACCCAGCGCTCTTTCCTGCCTATGCAGGGGTCAGACTCGATGATCTATTGAGGTCCCTTCCGACCCTAACATCTATGAATCTATGAAAACTAAGCAGCATTTTTTCCGTTTTGTTTTGGTTTTTTTTGTATTCTGTAGTGAACAAGATAAAGAGGACAGATTTCAGCACTGCATCCTTACTGAAAATGGCTCCTACTGCAGAAGAAAGAAACATTGTCCACAACATGTTCCTTAATACATTGGATACAAGGCAAGTAAGAAGAATTCTAGGTGTTTGCAAGAAGGGATGGTAACATGTCAGTTGAGTGCATGCTTGTAAGGATAGGTAACTAGAAGGAATAGAGATTCTTTATTTGTCCATCTCATCACTTGAACATCACTTGATGACGTCTGTTGTACCATGTATACAAGCACAAAGCACTTGTAGTGCTGTTTGATGTATCTCATCTGTTCCTTAATGGAACTTTGCACAGAAAATGCAAAGAATAAAAACAATTGGAAATTGAACCATTGAAGATGCAAAGAATAAAAACAACTATATTGCTTCTGAAGAAGCAATGTAGAATAACTCAAGAAAGGGGTGATGATGAGCAAGGTTATGGACAGACATAATATTTAGAGGCTGTAAATAGAATCTCATCAGATGTGGGTCTGAATGTCCTGGGGTTTGATCTTGATCAAAACAGGCACAGCACAGTCATCTATATGTTGCCCTTCCTAGCTGTACTGCTACCTCTCTGCCAGTAGATAGCCAGCGAGAGTATGCAGCCTGGCCAGTTTGTCCTGGGAAGGACCCACAGTAACTGTGGAGACCACGCAGCCACATTCCAGGAAAAAGCATTACTTACTGTCCCCAGCTGGAGTGCTACAAAATCGCTGGAAAGGCAATGCAACCAGTTTTGTAGTGCTGCAGGGGGTATGTATGCATATCCACTCAACATTTTGTAGCACTACAAGAGCTTTTAAAGGGCTTTTAAAGTGCTGTAATGTCACGACTGTCCAGGGCCTGGATTTTGGATTTTAACCTTGATGTGGCTCTTGGAGCATTTGCGCTGCACTTAAGTTTTGTGCCTTAATAGTTGGCAGAATCGTATAGGGAAAAGGTCTTCCCTGGCTAAACTGCTACATTGTACATGTATGTTAGGCAGCACCTTTTTGTGGACAGGTGAATGTTAGCTCTTTTTACAGATTTTGACAAGACTGGAAAAATCCTGATGCAGGAAGGTATGTAAGCAAGAATACCAGAGCGAAAGAATTAAATATGATAGGGCAGATATTCTGAAAAAATGGAAACATTGGAAAGATGTAGTAGAACTGAAACAATAGTAATGGAGGGAGAGAGAAAGCTGAAATATATAACTCTTCTATCATTAGTAATGTGTTTAATCTGAAGTGAACACAGATTCTGGAAAGACTGCAGGAAAGTAAGATACAGAAAGTCAAGCAAGAGAGACAATGAAAGGACAGAAATGGGTAAGGGAGATATTTTCTTATATTTTTATTAGGGTTCTATTTGTAAGTTTTCTGGAATAGCAGGAGAAGAATTCAGCCTTCACACAGCCATCTTGAACTTTGTTAACAAGAACAGTGCTCAGGGAAATCCTGAAATATCTCTAGAAACAACATGAAAGGACTTCTGTTACTGATTCTAGAAGCTGCCAAAGCATTTCTCTTCAAAATGAGTAATATTCCATGGTTGCAAGTTTCACAGCTCTGTAGTGGATTTCGCCATGTACTCCATTAAAAATCAATAGATACCTGGATGAATACCCTAGAGCATAGCTGCTCAACTGGCCCCTGGTGTTGGGTCAGCTGACCTGCTTGGCTCTCCAGGGTATATCGGGGAGCTCTGTGAGCCATGGCCCTGGGCACTATATCAGGTGCACAGGGCTTGATTGCAAGGTGGGTGGTGGCACATGGGGCTGGGTGGAGAGGCAGTGTGGGGCTCTGATCCCAGCACTTGGGGCCAGGAGGAGGCAATGTGGGATCCTAGGGTCTGATTCTGGCACGTGGGACTGGGTGGACAGCATGCGTAGGCCTGATCCAGGCACGTGGAGGCAGCATTGGCCCAGTCCTGGTGCACAAGGTGTGATTTGGCTTGCAGACTGGCCCCACGCCATTCATCTAGCCTGTGGGACCAAGATATTGAGCACTACTGTCCTGAACAGGTTTGCTAACATAAGCTGTATGAGTGAAGTAGAAATAATCCTCAGCGGTCTCCCTGACCCTCAGGGCCTTTCTGCTTAGCATGGTTAAGGCATACCAGTTAGCATAGCTAGAACCATACAAGGGAGTCATCACATCCAGTTGCCTTTGACTTCCTAGCCCAAATCTCTGGTGCCCACTTACATCTGGGTCTACTGGGGGGCAGTAGCCTTTGGCACCAGGCCAGAGTGAGGATTGAATTTATGCTGCTGGATCCATAGCAAGGTGTCTTAGGCACTCTTTCTCCATGCCCTGATTTAATTGAAAGCATACAGTGGATTGACTTGGCATCTTGTCTCCCATTATAACCTATAAGAAAGGTAAAGGGCTTGATGAGGTTGCTGAGAGTCTGTTTTTTTGAGATGCTGTAAGGATTTCACATTCACTGCTTTGTTGGTTTGGGTTTTGACATGCTTAAGTGGCCCCTCAGTAGCACTAATGCTACAAATGCTTATGCACATATCTCATTGAAATCACATTAATAATCCCACTGATATGCTCAAACACGGAGTAGACCTGAGCAGAAGTGTTTGAAAGACCAGAACTTTAGACTGTGCCCTGTATAGTAACAAGTCAGAACATCACACTTGATTATGGTTTCAAGGTCTGTTAGAAATAGCATGCAGTCCTGCCACTGGCACTTCCAGTTTCACTTGAGTACCAGTGTGTGTGCATGTATGCATGCATAGATGTTCACAAGTATAGTTTTGAGTTTGCATTTGTAGCTTGTTGAGTGTTCTTAGATTAGGATACTGAATGTATTTTTTGTGTTCCTTTGTTTCCGCAGGACAGTAAGTTTTCGGAGCCGTGTGCTACCACCTAATTCAGTGTGGATGGAGGATGCGAAGTTAAAGGGCTTGCAAATCTGTCATCCCCAGGTATTTCAAAGAGAATGCATTGCTGAAACCATAATGAATAAGTTAGGGAATATATTTTGACATTGATGGATTGAAGACATTAAACTTGGACCTTTTTTTCGCACTTAAAGATTTAAGTATAGCTGGCATTAAGATTATGTAAATTTAAAGGCTTAAATGTATTTCTTGGCCTTTTCAGACTGGTCCTTTTGACAGTTAGTCTTCCCCAGGTGAGACAGGATGATCTGTAGAGTTGGTGTTTTCTTGTAGTGTTTCCTCTCCAATAACTGTTTGTTAATTTTTAATGGACTAGCTTCTTTAAAACTTAAGATACTTAAATAACGCTCTTGAAAAGATGCAGAAAACTTGTGTTTTCCCTTAAAAAAAAAAAACAAAACAATACAAAACCACAGCCCAGATTAGATAAAAACAAATATGTTGTTCAAGATATAGTAGGAAAAAAATAGTTAAAAAAACCCATTTTGTTACTTGGGAACATTACTGTATGCTGAACAGATTTAATAGTGACATCTTAATTATAAAGGTTTGAGTAACTTCAGTACTAGCTTAGAAACAAAGCAGTTCTCTTAATCAGTGAAACTGTATAGGATCAGGCCTGACAAACTGCAGGTGAAGTCAGGCCTGAGCCACACTTTATTTTTCCATTAATGTTAATGGGAATTAGACTAAACCCTAAATCAGTGATCAACTTGGCTCTTGGAGTCACAGAGGATACCTGTAGATGTGTGGGGGTGCTGCTTTGATGCCCTGTATTTACAGTGTGTCAGAGCAGACTCAATTAATCAAGTCTGCTGGAGCATGCTAATTGGTGTGCCCTAGCAGCCTCCACGTCTCATGTATTCTGTGTCCCAATACTTCAAAATGGAGGTGGAGGTGTTTTTAATTAAAGTTTGTTGAATGAGCTTTAGTTAAGGCACCCCCACTGCCATTTTGAAGTGCAGGGACTCTGAATACATGAGGTGCTGTGGGTGCTTTAATTAGAGCAGTTCTTGGAGTCTCTGTAATTAAAGCGCTCCCCGGAACATGTGTAAAGATGCCCAGAGGTGCAGCTGTGATTAATTTGCTTTTTTCTGGAGTTTCATAATAAAGTGATATGCCTGCTTATTATTTTACAGTGCTCTAAAATATACTCTGTGCTTTATAAAACAATGAAGCAGCTCCTGCCCCAAAGACATTGGGGTCTTATTCTTTTCTTTTGAGCGTTCTCTCCAGGAACAGTAGTGGTTATATTAATGTCTCTTCTTTATCCTGTATGACCTCTCTCTTAAATTAGAATGCGCATGCAGGAGCTGGGCACAGAATTTATGTGATGTAAGCCAAAAGGTTACTAGCATTTAGCTGCAGGGCTCAACAGGTATACAATTCCAGCCTTGCAAATGCAAAACTGAAAGACACAGGTTGAGATCAGTCCATAAAGCATTGAAGATGGACTTTTAGCTGATCTCAGTTTTTAGTTTTTATGGCTTTATTTTATGTGTTGAGTTATGTGGACTATGGCTATCTGAACTAAGTAGGCAGAGTCATCTTAATTCTGTATGTGTTTTACTAGTGCTTTACTTCTCACAGATACTCAATTTTATATACACATGCTATGTATAGTATAACAGGAATGCAGATGAATCCGACAGGACTCACTCCCAGACTGTGAGAGTGCATGTGTGTGTTTCTGTCCATTTGCTGATTGTGCTTGTGTTTCTAAATAAAGGAGCGGAACATTTTCAATAGGATCTTTGGCGGTTTTCTGATGAGAAAAGCATTTGAGCTGGGATGGGCTACTGCCTGCAATTATGGGTGAGTCACAGTTTTGCACTGTATTCCTACTTGTGTAGTCCTAGAATGTTTTGTGTGCATTTAATCAGTGTGGCAGGGGGAAGCTGAATTATAGATGTAACAGTTGAGCAGTGAATCTGGAATGCATGTCCTCCAGGCAGTGGGAAAGTGCTGGAATTTTAAATGGCTATTCTGAACTGTGGGATGTGCATTGTATTGGGCTGCACAGTAACTGTTACAGTAGATTATTCCCCCTAGCATGATTAACAGGACATACACCTTTTGTTTTCACCAAGAACTTTTAACTTTGCATTCTTGATTCTAGAACTTTGATTTTAAAGACCATGCTGCCATGCAGGAAAATACGTAACTGATAGAATCTGTTTTATCTTGAATGTACTTCTCGGAGCTATTACGACTAGCTTTTTGAGATGTACATACTGGTTAAAAATGTCAAATGTAAGTTCTTATAGGTATTGGATCTTGTTATAGTTTGTGTAATGCACAACTTCTGAATTTTACCTTCTTGTCACTTGCTCTTAGAAAACCTGACTGGGCTCGCAGTCCTGCCAACATTTATGTACATTCCTAATTGTAAGCATGTGAGCAGCCTTGCTGATGTCTGTGCAGTTATGCATGTACTTTAAAGTTAAACATATTTGTAAGCATTTGCAGGATTAGGGTCTAAGTGGTGAGATCTGGACATTTTGCTCTAAGCGGTGTATTACTGTGCTTTTTGACTCCCTGATATAGTGTCACTTAGCATGTGATAAGAAAAAGATGACCAACACTGTAGCCTAAGAGTTTGTCAGTACAGAGGGGCAAGATGTTCCCTCAGGTTATTCATTTTCTTCTTGGTGCCCTGGTATTACTTAAATACATAAAAAAGAATGGTTTAAGAATGTCTCAATTTCAGCTGCGTCCTTTAGTAAAGACACAAGGTGAAATTGCGTCAGGCTGTGCTGAGACATTAGATGCTTTTGATTACAATTTTTGTCTTTCTTCCCAGAGGTTCAAGACCTTTCATTGTGTCTGTAGATGACATCATGTTTCAGCGACCAGTAGAGATTGGATCCTTATTATTACTTTCTGCCCAGGTAGGAGTTGGTTTCTCTTCAGAGCTGTAAAGTCTATATTCTATTTTGTGCCTTTAGTATCAGTTGCTGGTGATGAACAATGAGCTATGAAAGAGACAGTGATCTGTAGTGTCAGGCAGTGGAGTAAAGTCACTTGATTATTTAGTACCCAAGGTAATTTAATAACCATATCCTCTGCTTTTACTAGGTTTGTTACACAGAAAAAAACTATATCCAGATAAGAGTACACAGTGAGGTTTATGACACAGACACCAAGGAACACAAGACAACCAACATCTTCCATTTCACGTTTATGTCAGAAAATGAAGTTCCTCAGATTGTGCCAAAAACATATGGTGGTAGGTGGCAATTTTAATGCATTGCATTAAGTAGTATCCCTCTTCTGGGAAAGGGAGACCTATCTTTCTCTTGTTGTTCGGCCACACTTAACTGACCATCTCTAATCAGTAGAAATCTGTATGCCCCTTCCTGCTATATTATACATCTTGCTATTATTATTAATGCTTTTCAGATTGCTTGGTCTCTTGGGTTGTTGCCTGGTATTGAGGTTCTAATGTGTTTAGCTTTTCTTTCTTCCTGTTGTTTCAGAGTCCATGTTGTATTTGGATGGGAAGCGACATTTCAATGCAATCATGAAGGAAACCAGAGAAGCAATGAATGCCCCTGCAGCAGCCTAGCAAAAGGCTACGTTTTGGAGGAGCCATCACCAAAGACTTC